AGACAATGAGAAAAGACAAAATATATAGGGGGAGGGAAAATTTAAAAAGCATGCTGGAAACGTGTAAAGAAAACACTCTAGTAAATCAACCACGATACAAAGAAAAAAAACAAAAACAAAAATCTACGAAAACGTCCTGAACAGCGGGCGTGTGCAGAACAAAAAGTTACTTCACCACATCGACGAGGAATACAACCACACAAGTCCGTTTTGTGCTACACACAGAAAATTATCAACCGAGTACAGAAGATCTAACACACAAAATGTGTCAACAAAACCGTGAAGAATCCATACACCCAAAAATCACACCAAATGTGAGGGGATAAATATATAGATATATATATACAGACACACACTCACAAATAAAACTCAAGGGGTGAAGAAGCCATAGAAGAACGATGAAACGAAAATTTGCTAGGTAAACCAAAATTCACAGTAAGGAGACTCAACGGAAGAGAGAAGTAAGCACAAGAGAGGACTTGTGTGTGTGGTAGTAAGGGCAGTCCACCGCACACGGCAGAGCCAGTGAGTCTAGTGCTAGTGGGGGTGACAGAAGCACACGCTAGAGGAGGAGGGGTGGGGGGTGGGGGGGGGGGTGGGGGACACAAGGAGTCTCTCCAGCAACACAAGTAGACAAAAAAGACGGAGCTTGCTCGGCAAGAGCAGAAGGGGGTGGGGGGGTGGGGGGTGGCCTACTGTACCTGGAACTGATGTTCTTCCTCAGGCTGTACGCTTGGTGTTTTCTGGGCAGATAGAACACAGGAACAGCTATAGAGGAACTTGAGGACACCACCACATTAACAGCACCCGTGTAAACCAACAGCGCACTTACTAAGACTTCCATACCTGCCTTCTTTCCTTTCATTTGAAGGGAAGCACTTTTTTTGTGTGTGTTTTGAGTTTTGGGTTAACATCACGGCATCACCTTAGATTATAATAACAGTTCTCAAAGAAGAAAAAAAGAAGTACTAATATAAAATATTTAAGAATCCAAAGACATAGGTCCCAACCACACAACTGCCAGACACTGATGTGTGTTTTGAGTATGGGTTAACATTGCAGCATCACCACTTCTTTGTGGAGTAAACATCTAGAAGTAGATTATAATAACAGTTTTAAACAGGACTCAAAGAACAAAAAAGAAGTACTGAAATAAAACATTGTAAAATTCAAAGACACAAGTGACCCACTATTCCGGGCTGCCTTGACAGTCAAAGCAGACTTTGTGCTGTTGAAGCTAAAGAAGTGGGCAGAGTAAGCCGGATTCCCTGTAAGGACTTCTCTTTTGACATCCACCCTTGGCGCTCATATGACCTTGTGCAGTTGCGAACGCCGTAAAACCTCTACTAAAACTAAAAAACAGGTACCTACAGAGAGTTCCCACCACACAACTGATAGACACTGATGTCCAGCTAGAAGACAGTAGGACAACAGACAGAGTGAGACAGACACGGGTTTTTGATTCTCTGACTGACATACATATCCAGGGCACCGGGTTCTTACAGTCTACAGCGTTAAGTTCTATTCTTTTCCCTCAACTGCTTTTGTTTTAGTAAGAGTTTTACGGCACTTGAAAATAAGGTCATGCAAGAGCGGAAGATTAAAGGTGTTACAAGAGGTAACAAACACCAACAAAGAAGGAGAGATAAGGACGAAAGACGCTTGATAGGAAAGAAGAAGAAAACCACACAGGAGCACCCGCCAACCATCCACTCTCAACTGCAGAGACCTTCCGAAGCACAACACTCTCTCACTAGATGCTCTGGTCTGAACAACACTCAAGGCACTTTTTGGGAACAAGGTATGCATGCTGAAGAAAGCGCACAACCCTTGCCTTGTTCTTCCCCAAAACACGGGGCTAGAAATATAAATCAGTGCACCATTCTGTTCCTAAACTATGTTGTTGTGCCCTTTGAAGATAGCATCATACTTGTAATCAGTCCCAATATATCACTAAACAAATTTCCTATAAGGAAAAGAAAATAAAAAAAGACCTACACAGACAATTCTTAACCCAAAGACAAAATGACCACGAGAGTTAACACTTACAGTAGCGCCGGCGACCCCCCGCAGTATTGTTAGTTTTAGTAGAGGTTTTACGGCGTTCACAACTGCATAAGGTCATATGAGCACCAGAAGATTAGAGGTGTTACAAGAGAGTAACAGCGTTCATAACTGCATAAGGTCATATGAGCGCCAGAAGATTAGAGGTGTTACAAGAGAGTAACAAACATAAAAAAGGAGGGGAGATAAGGATGATAGATGTTTGATAGGAAAGAAGAAGCAAACCACAGCAGAGCACCCGCTAAGCACCCACTGACCGCAGTATGCGCTCACTCCCAGTGGCAACTTTAGTCACTGCCGCAACCAGGCACGTTAAATAAACATAATTAAACAACGGTCACTCCATGACAGCTGAATGCTTGATGAACCTCTCTCAATGTGTAAACCGTGTTTCTTTGGTGTAAAGTTTTTTTTAATATTTTAAACAAATCTACCAGCGGCTTCAGCGTTCTAAACTGGTGCGGAACCCTATGGTTTTTCACTATACGAGTTTTCGGTACTGTAAGTGGTAAACGCTTCATTCAAGTAGCATAAATTTGAACTTTAGCTTTCCACGACTCCACCGGTGTGCAAGCAAGGGGAAGAAAGCAGGTGTGAGCTAGAAAACTGCAAGAACATGAGGTCATTCCTCCCAGAAAGCAAAGACAAAGAGTACAAGACGAGAGATGAGACAGGAAAAAAGGTAAAGAAACAGCTGGCCCACAGGCCAGAGGAGGGAGCCACAATACAGAATCCTGTCAAGATTTACATGCTTCCATCCCTAACTAACAGGTGGACAGACGTTCAAGGGTCAAGGGTACCACTATATGTCTGCAATGCATTACAAATCTGAAATGCGAATCAATCTAATTATTTTTCCCCCTTGTTACATCAAGGGTACCACTTAGGTCTACAATACACAACAAACGTGAAATGAGGAGCAATCTAATTGTACCACCCATTCTGTCTGAGATACATAACAAACGTGAAATGAGGAGCAATCTAATTGTACCACCCATGATGTCTGAGATACATAACAAACGTGAAATGAGGAGCAATCTATTTGTACCACCCATGATGTCTGAGATACATAACAAACGTGAAATGAGGAGCAATCTAATTGTACCACCCATTCTGTCTGAGATACAGAGCTTCCAGCAGCTGATGTCATTTTTCGAGGATTTTCGGGTCCAGGGCGGAGCCCTGGCAGGGGGTTGAACGGGGACAGCGTCCCCTTTATGTTTGAGAATTTCTGGTTTCAGGGCATCCTAAGTATGCCATTTCTGGCTATTCAAGCCTAAATTTAACAAGAAAATAAGTGAGAAAAAAACATACCTTGCACTAGATCTAGATCTAGATCTACTTAATTTTCTGCTTGTGTTAATCTATATATTTCCAAATCCAAAGCCATGCTTTCTCCCTTGTACAGATACTGTACATCCACAACTAGATCTATAAAACTTGACAGTTAATGTTTAACTTTTTTCTGCTTGTGTTGGTTTGCACCATAATCAGCATAAGGTGTAGAATTCTTACAATAATAGTTTTTTAAAATCTATATCTAGATCTAAATAACTGGACAGCTTATATCAAATTTAATCTACAACAATACTTACAAATAAACAAGTCTGGTAAAAAAAAACATCAAGCTCTCCTTAGAGTTTTCTTTTCTTGGAAGGCCCAAGATCTATAGAACCACAATCGTCATTTCTTCCTCTTGCTTACAGAGCTGGTGCTCTGCTTCTTGAGCTTTAGAAAGTGAAAGTAGAAGACACTGTCTACACTTTCAAATAAAAGAGCACTTCCGGTATGGGTTGGTTATTGTTGAATATTGGTAATAACGGAAATTTTTTATTTCGCATTTCTGAAAATAATTTTTTTTTTTTTTTTTTTGCATGAATTTTCAAGGAAATTTTTCCATTTGCGGAATTCTGCTCATTTACGGAAATCCGCAAAATTGCGGAAGACTGGAAGCCCTGGAGATACATAACAAACGTGAAATGTGGAGCAATCTAATTGTACCACCCATGATGTCTGAGATACATAACAAACGTGAAATGTGGAGCAATCTAATTGCATTGATACATGAATAACTGAAAACACAAAAACTCCCGGTTGCTTCCTGTCAGTACAAAGGCAACAGAAAATGTGGAACAAAGCAAAACAATTTTTTTCAAACACCCAACATGAATGAGACTCTGTTACTTACAAGGCAACAAAATTAGCAGGATGTGCACCAAGAGGTTATGAAAACACAAACCAACAACAATGTTTCAAACAAAAAGTGCTTCCATTTCAGAAAGTATCAAGAAATCATTTCCAAAGTCCCCATTCTGAAGCCAAACGGAATGCAATAGGATGCAGTCTTCACAAAAGATAAACAACTTTCTACATGACAAAGGCAATGGCTCCATTTCCAATTTCGGTAAGAAAATTGAAAAAATATCGAGGGCTAAACGGCTTTTAGATGGAGAGTCAAAAATAGAACAATGCCATGTTCGCCTTCTCACACAATCAACAAATCTTTTCACACTCCTATTCTTGGGTCCAGGTTTATCATCTTGAGCTCTTGGAATCTGCATCTTGAGTGGGTCACCACTGAAACTACTCAAACAAAGTAGCATAAATTTGAACTTTAGCTTTCCACGACTCCACCGGTGTGCAAGCAAGGGGAAGAAAGCAGGTGTGAGCTAGAAAACTGCAAGAACAT